TTGATTAAACTTGTGCAATATAGCATGATTTTAATGGATAGATTATAGATAACATGATATATCTTGTCTGGGTTAGAATTTCTCTTAAATTTAAATATTTTTAAAACTGTTAACAATTTTTTTGTTTTTTAAATGAAAAAACCTTAAAAATGTTTTTATTTTTTAAAAAATACATTTCTTTTAATTATTAAAAACTAATGTCAACTATGACCGACCACCATTATATGTTACTACTATTAACAATTGGTGCATTATCAACATCTTTTAATTCTAAAATTATTTTTAAATAAACACTGTCAAACATATTTTTTTGTTTTATTTTAAAAACAATTCTTAAAACGACGTTGTAAAATAATATTAAAAAACAAAAAGTGGAAACACAATCAAACGTTCCTAAAACTCTCTACTTGTATGAGTTATCCATTTAAAATATAATCTTGCACTTTAATTTGTCTCAGATTTGTAATATATAAACAAAAAGTTACATATAATAAGATGTTGTTAGATCTAATATCTAAATTCATATATAATTGAGTATAATAGAATAAAGTAATATGTGTGTACCTAAAGAATCTATGGATCACTTGAGAAAGGTCGAATACCTCGAGTGTAGATAGATACACAATTCACAGGTCCCCAGAGTGTTCAGAGAGTTCAGAGATAATTGAGCAGAAGAAAATATATCATGTGTTTGCGGTTATCTACTGATCGACTTATAAGGATCAAATTAATAACTACTTTATTAAATAATTAATTTTATTATCTTTGACTTAGTTAGTTAAGAGATAGAGAATAACTGACAGCTACTGAATTGTAGGTTGGGCCTTTACTCATTAAGCTCACTTGTGTAGTCCACCTATTACGATTCACACAAAATCATAAAGACCAATCTGTTTAGGCTTATTAATTAATGTTAATCCATAAATAAATAAATATTCCAACAATTTCCCACTTGGATTGCATTAATTAAGCAAGTAGTATAAACAAGTTACAAACAAAATTCAAAAAATGAAACTCCACAAAATCACTAGATCATATAGGAAAACAAGTGATATAATGTCTCATAATTTGAATAAAATATGAAATTTTATTTCAAACACAGCTCAATAAGATAACAGTATAAATTACTAATTCTTATAAGGAAACAAATGATATGCATAGTGTACCACAACAAAATCATTGTGAAAAGGTCATGAAGGCAAGGTTCTTTTTATATCCAGTGTATTACCAATGCATACTTTGAGAATTCTTTGGCGCAATTGGAGTATTTTGTAGAAATTTGCTCAAGTTTTACTATTTTTTTTGGAGTGAAATACCCTAATCTTCTCTTTATTTTACCTTAATTATTGATACCTCTTATATTTTTAAAACCTATAAGAACATTTCCTTTACCAAACTACAAACATTCTTTTTAGTTTTAAGATTTTATTTTTCTATCTAACTGTTAGCTGACCATTATGTCATATATATTAAATTCAAATATCTCTCTTTAAATATAAATATAATCTAAAAATCATTAAATTATCCAAAAATATAATGTATATATTTTTATTTTAAAATTTTAATTTTGTAAATGTATTTATTTAAAATTTTTTAAAAATAAATACATAAATTGGTTAAAATAATATTCAAAAGTGAAGTAAAAAATTTATGAAATAAAATTAAAATATAATAAATTACTCGATTTAATTTATACTATTTTTGGTCAAATTTCATAAATTTTAACACAAAAAATTTAAATTATTTATTTAAATATTGATATATTTGATTAGTTTTTAAAATTCTGAGAGAGGGGGGACAATTAGATTAGAAGGATAAATTAATAATATTAAAATTTTTAACATGATTATAAATAAAAAATTAATTATTTTAAAATCTTTGAAGAAATATTCGTAACAACGTAAAATATTAAAATAAAATGTAGGTTTTAAAAATGGGAGAGGTCTCTATTGGTTTAGCAAAATGAAAGGAAAGTAATTGTGTTGTAATTTTTTTTTTTTGTTGAGAAAGGAAAGACCCCTGTCCATTACATCATCTAACTATGTTTTTTTTCCCCTGAAAAATATAACATTTAGTTCCTGTCATGTGCTTGTATTTTGCTTTCAGTTATTTTATTTTTTTATATTTTAAAGTTTTAAATTTTATTTTTTATTATTTTAGGTCTCTCCATCAATAAAGTATAGAGACTTTAGAAGAATTTAAAATTATAAAAAATAAAATAAAGGGACTTAAAATATATAAAAAATGTAGGAACTAAAAATAAAATATGAGTAAAGTACATGAATTTAAAACTATATTTTTTATTTTTATTTTTCTTTTAAATACATCACTCAGTGTTCTAATCCAACAGCTTGAAGTAATGCAAATTTAGTTAGGTTGAGACACTATCGATCAAAAGCCCACCCACTAAACCTTGTTGGATTAATTTTTAGGACTAGACATAAAATGGGAGAAGTACAACCGTGACGTACTGGTTGAAAATGGGAGAAGAGCCCGTTTGGTTTCCTTTCTTATATTTTGTTCTAAAAAACTGTTTCATAATATAATTTTTAAAGTTATTTTTTAAGAAATAAAATAAAAATTCAGTTGGTTACATTAATTAAAAAATAGTTTTAGAATTAAAAAATAAATTGATAGAGTGATAGTGATAGTTATATGCATTTAATGGTGGTTATTAATAAAAAAAAGATCAAGATAACTATAATTTCTAATAATCAAATGAAGTGTATTTAAAAAAAATAAAATAAAATCAACTTAAAGTTATTTTTATTATAATTTAAAATTGTTTTTATTTTTTATTTTTAAAAATAAAAAATGAAAATAATTTTGGAAATAACTAAATGAAAAATACTCATTCAAACAAATTTTTAAAAATAAAAAACAGTTTTTAAAAACAAAAAACAAATAGGCTCTTAGTTTGCACAATTAACTTGTTTTTTTTTTTGGTACAAAAAGCATGTAACTGTTTTATTAAAAAGTTTGTAACCACTCTAATAATAATAATAATAATAATAAAGGTAACCTCCAAGACGCTTAAAGTAATAATGAACGATGCAAAATCACTGTCATAAGACCAGTCTCTTGGATGCATATCCACAGCTTCAATTATCAATTATAACCGAAATCGCCTTCCTGATTTCATACCGTTATATAATGATTAGTAAAGGTTTGTTGTCAGGTCAAGGACGTTAGCATTGGTAAGATATTATTAATAGTTTGATAGTTTGATTCCTTTAGGCGACGTTTGCTATTCTGAAAAAGTTTTTAATAAAATTAAAATTAAAATTAAAAATGAAATTAAAAACAAAATTAGAATTGAATTGAATTATAAAAATATATTTAATATAAAGATGAAATCCATATATAATTTTAATAAATAATTTTTTTAAAATAGCAAAAGACTAAAAGACCCCCTTAAAAATATCTCATTCTCTTTCACCACACTACAAACCCATAACATAAAATCAAGGTTTTAAAACCAGACTGGTCATTGAATCGATCGAGGTAGCGGTTCACGGTTTAATGGTCGGATTGAGATCGAACTGTAGTTGAAACATAATATATTTTGAATTATATACATTTAAAAACTATTAATTAAATACCTATATAAGCATAAAAACATCATTTAAAATTAAAAGATCACAAATATTAATATCAAATTCATAATATAATAGCCAAATCCATAATATAACCATCCAATATCAAAGGGAAAATCATACAACAACCTTGCACATAAGTTTAATCCACAATATAATAGCCAAATCCATAAATATAACAATCCAACATCAAAGGGAAAATCATTCAACATCCTTGCACACAAGTCTAATCCATAATTATTACATTCTTCTCAAGTCTTAAGTGAAACCCATCAAACCAAGAAAATTAGTCATCACCATAAAACTCATTCAAGTCAAGTTCTTTAGTAAGTTCTTTAGTTGCTAAGTCATTAGCAACTATAGTAGGAAGAAAATCTGAGATAGCAACTTCAGGAGTAGATTGAACTCCAACTCTAGTTAATGTAGATGGACCTCTAATTCCAATAGGTGTAGATTGAGCTCTAAGTCTAACAGATGTAGATTGAGCTTCAAATCCAACATCATCAAACAAAGGTGGAGAAGATTTAGCATTCATACGTTCATCACATATTATAAATAAGAGAAATCAATCTTAAGTTCTTAACTATCATTTCTCTCAAAAATAATTATAGGATAATAATATATAAAATAACCTTTATCATCCCTAATAGTAGTAAGAGGTTGTGGATTCTCTCCACATAGTAGAACATCACAATCTGCCTCATTAAACTCGAGAGTAGGTTGTTCTTTAGCTATTCAAAAGTCAAACCTGTCAATAGATGCATAATCAGTAAGAGCATAAGTTTTCTTCTTCAACTGTGATCTATTAAGAAAACAAGAAAGAAGTTAGATATTATTTAGTTTTCAACTAAACATAAATTAAAACTAGATCATTTAGATAACTACCTATGTTACAACCGCAAGTTGTAATTAGTGAAAACTAGATTATTTAGACATTGATAATCTAATCCGTTTCTTCTTTTTGTGTGAATATGTTCGAACAAGCTCCAATTACGCTCACGTCCTGAAGATGATGAAGTTTGGCTAAGCACACGGATTGCAACTTGTTGCAACTGTAGAGCATCACCCCAACAAATGACCACCATTCATTTGCAATAAAAATGTAGCTTTTTTACTTATCATTTCAAATTATAATTAATAATTAAAAGTAATAAAAGTATGCAACTTACAAGGTGATAATTTTTTTGTTGCTTGACCTAAGTGATCTCGAGCAAAAGAACCATCACGATTTTTGTACAAACTTACTTGGTCCCACAATTGGACATAATCATCAGAGCCATACACCTCAAGCAAATCAAGTACAGCATCTGTAAGCTTTCTTTTGAGATGAAAAGAAGGGTCATACATGAATGCTAGATTCAAAAAATATGTTGCTACATAAAGACTAGTCTTCAAGTGCTTATCCTATCGAGCCTTAAGGATGTCTATGTAAGGCTTATACTTGTGAGGATTGTTATTACAAAAACTCTTGATTCCATGTTTTGCCCTTATCATGCCTTCATAGACATAGCCAAGAGAAGGCTTCTTATCTCCATAAACAATTCTTAGCAACCAAATGAGAGGACCAACAAGAGCCACAATGTCATAACACTCATTCCAAAATCTATTATCCAAGACAATGTTAGCAAAATTCTATCCTGCTATTGTCTTTGACAACTTGTGATCAACAAAATGTCTATCAACCACCAAGCTTGCAAGTCATTCTTGTACTTATGGATGCCTTGTAAAGTAATGAAGGTGGTAGCAAATCTAATTGCTCCTGGACACAGGATCTCCCTCCAACCTTGTCTTTTTCTAAGCCATGACAAAAGGACAGTATGATTATACATAAAAATGGTAATCTTTGATGCCTTGGATGCAAGGTCTAACACATAAGGCAAACTTACAATGTCCTTCAAGATAAGAATCAAGCAATGTGCGGCACATGGTGACCAATAAATATGCTTATATTTCTCATGAATTAGTCGACCACATGCTATATAGTTAGCTGCATTATCAATCACCACATAAATAACATTTTTAGGACCAATCCACTCTATCATTTCACCAAATAGTTGAAATAATATCTTGGCATCTTTGACTAGATCTAAAGCATCAACAGACTTCATAAACACTATACCTTTCGTATAATGAACTAAAAAGTTTATCAATATACGTTGCCTAACATCAGTCCAACTATCAGCCATTAATGTGCAACTATTACTTTCCTATCTGCTTCAATAAGCATCAACAATTAAATGACATTCTCATTCCAATACCAGTCCCTCCAGTAGCATTAACATTATGAGTGGAGAGGGTATGTGACACGAGTATAGGAGTTGGTGTGGGAGTGGGCGTAAGTGTGGGAGTGTCATTATTTTCAAGGCCACCGGCATTGATGATCTTAAATCAAAACTTTAAATTAAAACAAACAAAAGTTAAAATCACTAGATAAAAATAATCAACCATAAAAATGGAAGCAGGGACTTTATAAAAGGAAATTTAGGATTTAAGTGACAAAAATGAATTTAGGATATGATAAGTAACAATTTTAGACAATCATAAAAATGAAAGAATAAACATGCAATTTAGAATTTAAGTAACAATTTTAGACAAATTTAGGCAAGTTAGACCTGGAGAGCGCGGACTCACTGACTTAAAGATGATGACTAGTTGAACTTGGAGAGTGTGGATTCAAACTTCAAAAGATGACTCAAGTATTCGACCTTAGGTGGAGAGATGAAGATAGATTAAAGGAGAACCAAATCAGACTTTAGAAATGAGACGGAGATGATACGAGATCTAACTTCTCACTTTAGTAATGGGATGAAGAATGTAATGTCCGCCTTGACATTACCAAGACAACACTCACACATCATTATGATAATTAGGATTAAATAAAATCCTTTAAAGAAGTTACCACAACTCAAGGGTTAAAGATGATTAATTTAAAACACTGGGATCCATGGTTAAAAATCCTTTAAAGAAAACTAAAACAATTAAATAAAATTCTTTGAAGAAAACCCTTTTTAAAATATTGTTTGAGCTCAAACCATGATTAAAAATCAATTAAAAGTAAATACGGAAGCATGAAAATTGTAACACCCTCAAATTTACAAACCGATTTTTCACAAATTATTAAAACCATTATCATGGTAGAAAATTTTCTTACTATGATACATCCAAGACAATATACCACAGGTCTTAAAATATCTCAAAAAGAAATTAGAACCATGAGGGACAGTCATGATCCTCATAGCATGTTATTTAAATTAGGTCATGAATCAAAAGGGACAGACATAATCCTCTTGGACATATAAATGCATTTAATAAAAAGGATTAGAGTTTACATGCTCCATAGACAAGATATGTCCTAAGTTGGCACAAGATACATTGTATAATCCAAAATAAGAGGCAACGTAAAAGATGGTGTCTCATATACTATAATTACACCTCTGGTGCTTTCTCGGCCGGATTCGCTCCTGTAAAAATATTAACCACGGGAAATGAGACTTAAAAGTCCCAGTAACCAAAAATTAATATGTAATGATGCATGCGGATGTAACTAATCATGCGATTGCTAAGTGGGCACACAAAACATTTAACCGAACAATATTTTCAAACAAACCGAACAAGTATTTAATTGCATGACTGCACCTTATATCCTCCTTTCGCCATGCTCGGACGCCAAATCACCCGGCCAAAGGTGAGTTGGACCAAGCGACACGCCACTTATTGGGTCCAATGAAGGCTTACCACATGGTAATAATTAACCGAACAGAAATTTCCATTAACACCATACATTAAAATACCCTGACAAGTCATGCATCATTCAAATATCCAAACAGGAATATATCCGAACAATAATATCTCATCATGATAAACAAAAAAAAAATTTTAACCCACTCGGCAATAATTTCAAACAAGTATATACAGTATTTATTTTCAATAATTCATAATTTTTCCAAACAACAAAATAACACATAACCATTCACAAACACACCCATCACAACACATTAATAATGGTTACCTTGTGTCTCGAATAACAAGTTCCCCTTCACTCACCACTATCTTTGTCAATATAATCTACATAATTATTTCACAATACTATATATTAATTTTACATTAAAATAAATAACTCTAATTTAAATAGTTAGAAAGTCTTAGATCTATAATCCATATTAACACTAATTTAAGATTTACGCCTCATTTAACTTTCCAAATTCTTTTCTAAAATTCTTATACCCTAATAAACTATTTTATCCTCAAATCACTTCTAGTATCACAATTTCATCCTTCTATATTCTAAAAATTCATCCAAAAATAAATTAAAAATTTTAAAATTATCCTGAAGCCTCAAATCACCTTTCTATAACCTCAAAAATACCTATTCATACTTAAATAAATATTTAATAATCATAGGTTTATCCCTACATCTCAGATTGCACATAAATTCAACCATATAGATCTAAATTTTTAACTCAAAAATTCTTAAACATGAGTTTCAACCTCAAGAAAATATTCTATAATATTTATTATATCCCTAAGAGTTTTAACCTATATTTTTAATCCATCATATCATCAGATTAACTATCCTATAGAAAAATCTTAATCAAAATATTTACCCTATCCTACAAAATAATCATATCACTAGAAAGCTAATATTATTTAGAAAATAACTATAAAATTAATTTTGTAATTAAATAAATTTTTAAATGCTAATCTAAACAGGAAAGTTAGAACATACCTGAAGAAAAAGAAATAATCCCCCCTTGCGAGAAAAACGCCTAGCAACGTGAGAGGAAGAGAGAAAAATAATATAAAAATGGGAATGTGGTCCCAAAATTATATTAAAAAAACTATAGGTTCGAATTTAATTATTCAAACCTTTGGGCCAAAAGTTGCAATTTCCTCTAAATTGCATCTTAGTCTCTCATGCTTCCTAATGCACACACCCCCTCCTTTTTATATATGAAGGCACCTCTTCTCTTCCCTCATCTAACCAATGTGGGACTTAGAAACAACAACCTTTCACCCCCCCTTTTTTTTGTTCCTTCTACCTTCTCTTTTTTTTAACACACAACAAAAAAAATTATTTATGTATTATATCTTAACTAAATATTGCTTATGTGATTTTAAATTTAAATTTTTAAATTTATAATTAAATACCTAACTATAATATCATTTCTAAATAACCTCAAATAATATAAATTCCTATTATTATCATTTTTTTTTCCTCAAAACCTATATTCCACAATTTCTTTATTATATAAAAATCAGGATGTTACAAAAATCAATTTAGTTCGATACAAACTAAAATAAGTCATTTTGCCCTTAGCTGGTCTGTCTGTCGTAGCACAAGCCATGCCCACCGTGGTGGATGGCACAGAGGGATGAATCCCTTGAGGGCCTCTTGCGCCATGGCGCGTACTTGTTGTCATGACTTTTCTTTAAACTTTTAGAGCTCGTCATTTTGTCATCCGACATCCGATTTGAGCGGTTTAAGTGTCCACACGAAGCTCTTTGACCCTTCTAACTAATGGCACCAGTCTCACATTCAAACAATCACTCGTTTAAAAGATAGACAGCCAATCCAAAATAGTTTATTTTCACAACAAAACACACTTTGTAGTGTTCAACTTACAATATCAAATGCAATTAGTCCCAGAGACACCTTGACCACCTCAAATGGACCACACATCACATAACAATTCAATCATAATACCCAATTGAGTAATCACACTCAAAATGACCATCAAACTCCCAATTGACAATAATATAATGGGGTGGATAAAATTCAACATATCAATCAATTGGTCATTTTGACACTTAAAACACTTGAAATATAAATATCACTTGTAAATATAACTTGGCCAAGAACACACTTAATCCATAAACATTAATCTTGGACCAAGATATACATACTTATCACAAGATTCACACAAGTAATATCCAAACAATGTCATGTTCGTAAGTTGGCAATATTTAGTGACAATATTCGTTACAAAACCAAAAAGGAGAAAGGAAAAAGCTATACTACAACGCTCTTCACTTTTAGACTCTCCTTTCTTCACCTTGCCCCTATCGAAGCCCTCACATGTAAAATATAACCACAGGGTGAGATAAATATCTCAGTAACCAATATAACTCATCAAATATTTATTACCACAAATAACCATGAAAAGTATCAAAACTATAGTAATAACAAGTATATCATAATTATGAGATAAATGTATCTTTTCATAACAAAATACATAGTTTCACATTAGCATGATCGTTTAACAACTGAACCTCCAATGTTCCCCGACATAAAACCATAGGCTCTATTGGATCAACCACTTATTAACCACAAGCACACTTTTGGTGGTAGAAATACCCAGCCAAGGGCAATCTAACCTGCCTATGGACTATGGTTTTTTCCTTTTCACACATTTGTGATAGAGGCATCATTGACTCCTAACCACACCCTAACGAGTATTAGAGAGTTGCTAGACTGCTCGAATATCTCATGGTAATAGTTCCATATAATGCTGCACCGGATATCCCATGGTGTCAACTTGACCATATAAATTTTTCACTCACATATCTCCACACGTACATATTTCCACATACCTCGGCTGAACTCCTACCCCTATGATCATGCTCTTTCAAAATTTCATCGCTTTTCTTCACATTTCCACATCATAATCTTATATACGTGCATGTATATATATATATATATATATATCAACTAAAATTGATAACCTTTTACAAATTAATTTTTCATGCTAAAATCATTTACAATGTCACATTATGCATAAAACTCTTCAAAACCATAACTTTATCATTTATAATTACTTTTACAGAGTTAAAATAGTTAATAAACACAATAAACTATATGATTACCTCAACCCCTTTGTCACATAAAAAGGGTTACTGTGGCTTAACGTTAGCTCAACACGTTTTATATGCATGATATGGCGCGAGTAACACTCAATCTACACAATAAGTGTCAATTGTCAACTATCACTCCGGATAACTCTAAATTCACTAGGTTCTAAATGCTTAAAATACTTAAATTCCTTTCCTAACAATACCAACTATTCTCACACACTCTAACCATCGTATTAAGCGTCTTAACACACCCAATTCACTTATTAATGTCCCACATTATCTCTAAATCCTTAAATTATACTTAAGGTTTGTCTAAACCCTTACCAAAAATTCT